TGGGCCATTTACCCTTTTCCCAGCGGCTGTGCCCTCTTTGCTACCCGAGGCACAGCTGCCACCCTCTTTTTTTCGCTCTGTCTTACTGTGAAGGGGCTGCATGCCCAAGGCACACCGTGGGGTTACTTGATAAAAATCAGCTGGCGAAAGGCTGAAAATGCAGGTAGCAGCACTGAAAGTTTTTCCTCTTCCTGTGCCTTTTTTAAGCACAGATAAAGTGGTGACCATTACGTTTGTACAATATGAATTCTCTTTGGTAAAAATAAGCAGTCCACTTGCTAGCAGGTTTAGAAGGACACGTATTTTTTTTTCTCCCTCTATTTTTTTTTGTTTGTTTGTTTAAAGCTCTAGGAAAGCTGTACGAGTGGCTTCCAGCATCTTCTGCAGGTTCCCTCAAGCTCAGGGTTTACTTCCCAAGCTCTGCAAAAGCGAGAAAGGAAAAAAGTCATTGATACCAACAGCAATTGAAGACGTGACATTTATAATGGGGTTCAGCACCCCCATTGGCAAAGCTTTAGGAGTCCATAACTCAGAAAGGGCTGAGAGCCGCTGGTACAGGTTTTATTCATAATTTCTGGTTATGTTAGTGCACTTTTTTCTGCGGTGGTTCAGGATGCATGTGGTGTCTCCCATCACAATGGAACCCATCAGCTGTTATATAGCTTTATCCCTGTCCTGGCACCGCAGAGGTTTTGCTGGCGGCAGTAGCTATGTCCGCTCCCTCCAGGCCGGGTGCTGGCAGGCAGGGCCAGCCCCAAATATTTGGGGAGGGAATGACAGGGATGTCTTTTCATTTTGGAGAACCCTCCAGCTCTTTTTAAGTGTCACTTGATGCATCGTTTAAAAGAAAATACATCTTGGCTTCATTTTTAGCCCTCCTGTAGTGGAAGGCGCTGCCTGTCTCAGGCGTTTTGGGAGGGTCCAGCCACGCCAGCGATTCCCCAGGCTGCGGCCGCCCCTCCGGTTCATGCCACCACAGCGGCACGGCCACAGCACAGTTCTCGGCTTTGAGTCTTCCTGATGCTCGATACCCCACCACCACTGACGCATCCCCAGTCTTGGGGAGCACAGCTCCCGCTGGCCATGGGCACCTCCTCAGCTGCCGGCTCCCATCGGACCGAAAAAGGGCAAATTCACCCAAATCCATGTCCGGCTGCTGCCGCAGAGCTCAGGTGGGCTCTCGCACGTGCATCACCGGGGCTGTAATTCCTAAGGGCTTCTGTTTTCTTTCCAAGGGCTGCTACTGGTGCCATGCTAACCCCCCTCAGTAGGAAGGTGACCAATGGACCACTACCCAGCTGTACTCGACGCAGCCGTAGCATTCAGTTTACATACAGCACAACCCGTTTGCCTTACTAAAGACGCTTCTCCAATGAGTCATGGCCTTATACTGGGCACGTTAGCGTAGGCACAGACTACAGTTAGCGACGGTTTTGAGGCCACGGTGGTGTTCTGTTGGATATTTCGTTGTTAGGTTTGTATGATTTCATGTACTTATTCTCAGTTTAAGAAAGCCTTACTTTTTAAATTTTTTTTTTCTCTCTCTCTGTAGAGGTAAAACATTTGTGGATTTATATATATATAAATATATATATAAATAAAGTAATTAAAAATATTTAATATAATATAGTATGTGCCTCAGATTCAGGGGACATCCTGTTGATTGTAAAGTCAGAAGTGGCATTGCTCCCCAGCACGTGCGGGAGGTTCAGGAGATACAAACCCTATGCCCGCAGTGACCGGAGCGGGAGAGCAGGGCATCCCCCCAGGCGTCCTGCTTTTGGTTTTTAATGGACTTCACCTATTACACAGATGCTTTGGTAACCCCCCGGCAAATTCCTGCCGGCTGCCAGAATGTGCTATTAAAGTAATATGCAGACAAGGGATGTTACTCCTTGCTAGGTAGCTAAAACAGGCTCATTATTGTGAAGAGACCTGGTGGCTTGTCCAAGGCGTGACCCAGTCTGGCCAGCAGCCACTTCAGGAGGACAGCAAGCTGTGTCAGCAGCAATAAGGGTTCATCAGTATGAGTCCTGAAAAAAAAAAGGATTTTAATAGGAAAAGTCTTAGCATGCACACGGGGAGTTTTCTGTGTGTTTGCAGATGCAGCTCTTTGAGCCTGTTCTATGAAAGATTACATTAAAAAAAGCAAAAAGAAGTATTTGTAAAATAGATTGTAATTTTTCCACGTTATAGCATAGCCTATTTGGCCAATAAAGTTGTGTTTCAAGTGCATTGTTGAAAAGCTCCTGGCTGAACAGGCTAACAGACTTATGTAGGATGTTATAGGATTGTAGCAGTGCTTTACAGCGTTTATGGGTTTGATGTTCAAGAAATCAAAAGAAGAGGATGGCCAAAAAAAAAAAAACAAAAAAGAAAAAAAAAAAAGCCTTCTGAAGCTATGACCTGTAGTAGCCAAGTCTCGCTGGCAATTGCACAAGCGCAGCGGGATGTGCGTGTCCCCGGAGAGGGGCTGCCCGAGGTGCCCCCGCCGGTGCAGGCTGCCCTCTCCCCGGGCGGGCGAGGAGGCTGCCCACTCGTACCCCCTCCATGACTTGATTGCACTAGAGCAGCTCAGTCTCAGGAAATTGCTTGTTACTTTTACTGTGTAAATAAAGCTTCCTGGTTCAATAACCGCCGGCCAGCGTCTCGCCTCTCTGTGCTGTCCCCATGGCCGGGCGCTGCTGTGGGGTCGGGGGCGTTGGGGACACTGCTGCCCCTTGGGGACGTAACAGCCGGATTGTGGCACCGGTTGGGGTTTGATGGGGCAGAGCTGGGTGCGGGTGCAGGAGCCTCACATGCCTCTCCTCTCCTGGAGGAGGTCTGGCTGCACCTCCTTGGCATCTCCATGGGGCTGGGGGGGGAAGGCGTTGGGGGGGGGGGGGGGTGTCCCAAAAAATGGGTGTGGGTTGGGAAAGCTGGGGCCCTCCATCGAAGTGTCCATGTCAGAAATAGTAAGGATGCCCCAGCCTTGGGTTGCACCAGAAAATGGACATTTTTTTGGGTTCATGTGCAGGCAGATGCAATGCATCCCCCCGTGGTGGGGGATGCATCCCTCCCAGCCTGACACTGGCTGTTATTTAGCTGTAACGCAGTCGAAGAGGTAACAGCAAAATGCAAATCAACATTTAAGTGCCAAGTAGCACCTTACACTTCATGTTTAAGGACAGAGATAATGTCCCACCCCTTAAAATAAAATCTAAACCCGAGCAAGGCAAGAGCCCACAGCAGGGCAAGGGCATACAGGGTGTTAAATAAATTGGGGAAACAGGGTAATACCTCCCTACAGCCTTTGTAAACCAGAAGGGAAAACAGCTGTGTTTCCTTGAGTGAGCAAACAGTTTAAAAAGTTTCATGACAGATGGCAGGATGTTTATCTGCCTAAACTTAATCAGACTGAAGAGGTTGCAGAGAGAAGTCCTGCAGCGATCAAAAGGGACTTCAGGGCACTGGGGCGACTGGTTCAAGGATCGGGAGCGCAGGTAGTGTTTTCCTCATACTGGGGAGACCGAAGGCGTTGGGGGGGGGGGGGGGTGTCCCAAAAAATGGGTGTGGGTTGGGAAAGCTGGGGCCCTCCATCGAAGTGTCCATGTCAGAAATAGTAAGGATGCCCCAGCCTTGGGTTGCACCAGAAAATGGACATTTTTTTGGGTTCATGTGCAGGCAGATGCAATGCATCCCCCCGTGGTGGGGGATGCATCCCTCCCAGCCTGACACTGGCTGTTATTTAGCTGTAACGCAGTCGAAGAGGTAACAGCAAAATGCAAATCAACATTTAAGTGCCAAGTAGCACCTTACACTTCATGTTTAAGGACAGAGATAATGTCCCACCCCTTAAAATAAAATCTAAACCCGAGCAAGGCAAGAGCCCACAGCAGGGCAAGGGCATACAGGGTGTTAAATAAATTGGGGAAACAGGGTAATACCTCCCTACAGCCTTTGTAAACCAGAAGGGAAAACAGCTGTGTTTCCTTGAGTGAGCAAACAGTTTAAAAAGTTTCATGACAGATGGCAGGATGTTTATCTGCCTAAACTTAATCAGACTGAAGTGATAGGCTTAGTATAATAGAACAAAAAGGAAGAATTAGAGGACAAAAAAGAAATTCTCAGTGATCCACCACAGCCCTAACGTTTGACCAGGGTTTGCAGCATCCTTTGTGTGTGCGTGGATGCACACAGTGCTGTACACTTTGGCTGAACCACTACCCAGAGGATAAAAAGATACCAAAACAGACCAAAAAATTGCACCAAGGTCATTTTCCCAGATGTGGTTTATTTTATTATAATTTAATTTCTAGCCCGCTTTCCCTGCTGTCCCCAAGGGGTGCTGTGCAGCTCAGCGGCCAGCTGGTAGCTCTGAAAAACAAGGGTTTCCAACACTCGCAGGCTGCTCCAGGAACAGGGAGCATCACTTCGGCGTCCTTCAGGGACCAGGGTTGTCTTCAGCTGTTAGGACCGCTGGAAACATAGCTAGAATTATTGTTTACCTCCCGCTTGCAAATGTGGAGAACAGTAGCTGAATGCAGACAGCGGCCAGAGCACACTGCCCAAGCATATGTATATATAAATATATGTAACACGTGTAATTGCATACCTTTCCGTGGTCCCATGGGAGGTCTGAAGCAGGTTAAAGCCCAAACGGTCTCATTCCGTTCCAGTCTAAAGCACGCAGCCTTGCCTAAAACCCAAGGGGGTGCAGAACTGCTGACACGATGGTTAAAAGGGGACTTTTGCCTGTAAAAGGGTGACCCTTGCAAAGCTGGCAAGTGTCGGTGAAGGTGGGCACCCCCTCCTTCCCCTGGGGCAGAGGATGTGATGGAGCAAGCCCCAATCTCTAATTCTGCTCCCTGGTTTGAGCTCCTATCCCTGCTGCGCTCTTGCCACATGCAGCGTAGCCAGGTGTTGCCATGCATGCTGCAATAGCTGTGCTGTAAAACTGTCAGGTGAGAGAAACTAAAAACCCCGGGGATCTGCTGGAGTATGGCAATGTCCAGCGGTGGGGAGCAGCTCATTTTAGCAACGCTTACTCTGATTAGAAAAAAAGAAAAATCTCATGCCTGTCTCTGCTCACTGGAGCATGACTTGGCAGCCCTGCATGTGCTGAGCGCTCCCTGGCAGCAGGATGGGGCTGAGCTGGGGCTAAACTGATGAGGCAGGTGCTCGGCAGGCACGCGGTGCTGGTGCAGAGTCAGTGCTGGGGGATGTTCAGCGAGTATACCAGGTTCGCCCCGTTCAGGTAGCTACAGCCATCAGGGAGTGGTGTATGCCTGTGTGGTTTTGCTATCCAGGAGAACTGGAGGAAAGTTTAGCAATGACTACTGAGAAGGAAAGAAAGTGGCTGAACGTTTCCACATAATATTTATAAAGCAGAATTTATAGTCATGGCAGGAGGACTGATGGAGCTGGTGCTTTACAGAGACTGGTTCCCAGTTGGGACTGGAAAAGCCAGGAGCGCCAGCACCGGCTGGAGCCGAGTTGCCCACGCCGGCCTTCGTGGCAGGGCCAAGCACGCCTGCCGTGCCGTCCCGTGATGCTCCCCACTGGAGCACCTGCCGGCAGGTGAGCTGAAGCTGCGCGGGGCTCGATGCTGGCAGCGCCCGGGCGTGGGCAAGCTCCCGGCTGCACGGCCAGGATTTTAACGGGAAGGGGTAGGAAACCCGCATTCCCCCGCCACAGCCATGTCTGCCTGCAAGACCCCCCACGAAGAGAAGGAAAAGCCCATTGGTCCCATGGCCTTCACCAGCTTATTCCAGCCAGGGAAAAGCATTTCAGATCCTCTAAGCATCCCTGCCAGTGCTGATGTGACTGAACACAATGACAAACGGGCCAGATTCACAGGACGAGGTTTATTCCTGACCGGACAGCGTGGTTATTCTGTAATGTGTTGCAGCATTACCGGATTCCCGTGCCCTAACCTGGGGCAGTGCTGGACAGGGGCTAAACATGGCAGAAATGTGATTACTGGCTTGCCAAGGGCACAGGCGCTGTCCCCCTCCCCAGGGTTTTCATGCCGCCCATAGCAAGAGGCACGCACAGGACCCTGCAGAGCGGGGCTGGGCCGGCACACACCAGCCCAGGGCTTGGTGGCCTCCATCACCCCTCAAGGACATCACCCATCCCATCTCAGGCACCCCAAAAGGCACAGAAAGGGTGAGTTAAATAGCAAAGCTTGTCCATGAAGGGGTGCCGGGTCCCCCGTTTCCCACCTGGACACCTCTGGGCTGGGTCCCTGGTGTGAGCAAAGAGTTAAAGGGGGCAGAGCCCCCCGCAGCATCGGTGGGAGGCAGAGGCCCCTCACCACCCTCAGGGCTCCCCTCGGGCAGACAAGGCTCAGCCCCAGCTGGGAAAGAGCCTGGCACTTTTGGGAGAGCTGATTTCACCTGCGCTGGCAGGGGCATGGCACCAAGGGGAAGACATTCAAGACATGCCGGAGGACACAAAGTTCAGTGTTCCCCTGATGAAGCCAATAGATCATTTTACTGCCATTACATGAAACACTTAGGAACGCAGGCGTTCACCACCCCAGGCAAGGCTGGGGCTGGGTCTGTCAACGTCAGATGGAGGTGGGAGAGGACGAAGCGGCCTCACGGAGAGGCTGCATGCGAGGCCTCCTCTTCATTCCTTCCAATCACTCACAGCGCTGTCGGTTTTACAGCTGCTGGAGGATAATGTCAACTGCTTCGGCAAGGTTGTTCACGTACGCGTCAGGCTTCACGTGGGGGTGGTTTTCATCGCAAGGCCTGCAAAGGAGACAGAAGGGCATGGCTGAGCAAGGACGGTCTCCCAACCAGGTCCCATATCCCCAGCCGTCCTGCTGCTGCTGCGCTCACAGAGCCCAGGGTAGCTCCGAGGTGGCCCCAGATGGAGCACCCTCAGGTGAGCCTGGGTTTCACATTCCTCCCTCTTTTGTTTTATTTCCCCTTTTTCCCCCTTCTCTCCCTACCTCCCCCATACCCAGGTCTTTGCCGCATGCTATGGTAGATCCAATGTCCTTGTGCAACTGAGCTGGGCAAAACTTTGCCAAGCCTTGTATGGAAGACAATCTAATCTACATCGTTAACTAACTAATCCAAATTAATGCACTGCATTTTACGTGGCACTTCTTCATTCAGGCAATAGCAGTATCAGACAGGGATCACTGGGAGGACACTTCACTGCAAGTCTAGGATCCTACAAAACTGTGCAAATAATTATTCTCCCATGGTTTTTCTCTAGAAATAGCTAAAGAAAAGAAGAACTCACTTCTGACCGAGAGACATGAAAGGTCTGTACGTAGCTTCAGTGAATGGGAAGGCTCTGTCAGGGTTTAATTTTGCAGGACCACCGTCTTCTTGTAAATCTAACAGTGGTGGTTTCAGATGCTACCATGAAAAGGGTCAGACTCACCCTCCACCACGAGTCACCAACCCAAAGCAGAGCAGCTTGAAGCCATTTTTTTGCCAATGATTTAATTAGAGGCACTGGCCTAACGAGGCACAGATGCACAATCCTATTTTACTGATTCAGCAGCATTTCTGGTAGGGAGGGGGGCAGAAATTTTCCAAACCTTGTTGGTCTTGTTATGGCTCTTGGTCTGAGAAACCCAACAGCTGCTGAAGAGAAAACATATGTATTTTATACGCTTAATGGCTTTCCTTTGGGAAAGAGATGAGAGCCCTAATGTCCACCTCCCATCTCTCTTGTTCCCTGTAAAGGGCAAACATTTATTCAGCATGGGCCATTTTCTCAGCGGGGAAGATGCATTTCCCAATAGATGCATGGGAGGCAGAGAGATTATTATTATTATTTATAATGTGCAGAATTTGGTGAGCACTTGTCTGTACAAGTACCAAATTATTTCTTCAGTTCCAGCACTGAAGCTCCCCAGGGCTATTTCCTTTCTGTTCATTTTTCAGCTGCGCTCTTCATCTCTGAGTACATGAGCTCCTCGCAAAGGCATGGCCTCTTTTGGGATCCCATGCTGCTTGAGATTTTACTTGCTGCAAAGTTACAGTATGCAGCTAGTAAAAATAAAAGACACTGATATTCAGCTTTCCTTGTGTCACCTTCAAAGCCATGTCTGGCACAAGGACGATGGCTCCATGAAACGGACTCTCCATTGGGGCTGGCTGTCGTAAAAGCATCTTATTTAAAAGGTGGAAGGTTATTCCATGGGTCTTTATTTAATTATCCAAGATCTATCTTGTTACAGGGCTAGGGTGCAATAAGAACAGTAATTATGATGGTTTTTAGGTTTTCCTCAACTGAAGAAGGATTTAGATTGCTAAAGGTAAAACAAATTGTAATATACAATGGAGAAAAACCTTCAAATATAAAGCAAGTAAAATTCCAGTATGTACCCATCCCTTAGGTGGTGATTATTGCTCACCCGCTGATTTAACCAAGAGGCTTTTATGAATACAGAAATACCTTTGGGGAGCATGGTAAAATACTTCTTGTCAATAATCCTTAATTTGAGTAGAGATCTAAAAAAAGTAATGAACAAAACTTCTTTCCATTTTACACCCTGAAAAACATTTCTTTCGTATCTTATACATTAGGAGAAAATTTTAAGAACTGCTTGAAATGAACGCTTCTACAAGAAGTTTTCAATTACACGGCACTCTTTGATCTATTAAAAGGATTTTGTGATTGATATCTGTGCTGACTATACAGAAATCCACCTGTAACTCAGCAGCTAAATGCCAGTCATCAAGGAAATGCCCTGTATACACTTAATGTGTGCTGCAGAAGGGGTGTGTGTATATATATACGTGTGTGTGTATATATACTGCAGTAAAGCAAATTAGGAAATAAGGTATTTTTACCCATTTGTCCAAATAACATGTGATGACAACACACAGACTGGCCAGTCACTAACTCCTGGCTCCAGCGAGGTTAATGTTAAAACCCACCTTAGCTCCAGGGGAGCTATGAGTTTACCCTCGCGTGTTGCCCAACTGCCTCCCGCCCCATGGGACCGCTGGGGTGGACCTGGGCTTCATTTTTACCTGCTGCACCCCTATTATTCATCTGAGCCTGATTATTTCTCTTCTGCTTTGCAGTCCGATACCCTACAGGATTACAGCTGGGAATCCTAAAATACCCTTCTGCTACGCGTGCTGCAGACAGACGGCCCCGCTCACAACACACGGGTTTCAATCATTTTACTAATACTTTACCAGCGTTATCCAGAAGAAAATGAGAGGAATAGGCAGCCCTCATGCAGCAGATGTCTCCCATTAAAGCAGAGGGGGTGCAGCAGAGCCCAGCGGTTCAGCAGGTGCCCCCCCTGGCTGGCCCGGCTCCAGCCAGGACCCCGCTTCCCTCCCGTGGTGGGGACCAGCCCCATGACACTGCGCTGTCCCCACGTCAGCCATCCCTACCCCGGGGCTGGAACGTGTACTTCATTTCAGCCCATGGCACATTTTGGAGTTACACTTTTGAGACATGTCATATGTCTTAGATTACCTATATGCTCATCGCTGCTAAGTGGGGGGAGATGCAATAAATAAAATTGTCTGAACTCTGTAGGAAAGCAGAGAACTGGAATAAAACACACTTCCCTGCTCTCCTGCCTTTTCCTAGGGCTGTGCTAGGAGCTTTTATTCCTGTCAGTGCCACCCCAAGAGCTGTTTCATGCAGCCTCTTCCTTTGTCTTGTAGAATGCTTTGTAACTCACACAACTGCACACAAATAGCCAAGCGATGCTTTTCCCCCTCCGCCAGCTCAGTATTGCTCTTTTAAGCATCTGTCAGAAGGAAACTGCAAGCAATACTCCCCCAACACTAATGCCAAGAAGCAATGTTCCAAATGCAGCGAAACAATTCAGGAGCCCAAGTCTGGGTGCCAGAAGCGAGGCAGAGGAGAGAGCTCTGCCATAGAACCTTCAGGCAAACCCAAGAGGCTGCAGGATGAGCCCTTTTTCTGCCATTCGAAGGGAGCGGAGACCATGGCTTTACACCAGCCCCTCCCCCAGGGGATTCGGGCTTTTTCCCAGGAGAAACCCTCAGTTACTGAGAGATTTAAGATACCCTTTGGTGGAACACTGTGCTCTGGAGTTTGGCCCCGATGTCCTGGGTGTTGCTTCGGTGCATCAGAGCCTCCTTGGACAGGGCCACCGGGTGCAGGTGGAAACTTCAGCCAAGAGCAGATCTTGCTCTCATGGTTTCAGCTTCGCTTCTCTTTTGATGACAATGACTCTTTTTGCATTGCACCATGGCAGACATCACAACAGTGGGTCACAAAACTGGCAGCGGAGGTTACTTTTCAGTACTTTTCTCTTTCATATTCCAGAAATAAATAAAAAAATTCTAAAAAGATCTTTAATTTGCTAGGTCAATTGAAGAATAAACTTGCATCAATCTAACTTTAAGATAAACTTCCGTTTTTTTTTTTTACGTGGGACTCCGCATGCACAGAAGAACATAAATCAAAATGACAGAAAATTATATTCTGTAGCTGAATATTGAGCTGTCAGCAGTCTTGGCCAGTGCACAAACTTGCTTGTGAAAAATCAGCTACAGCCTTTGGAAACACTCTCTTCAATAAAGCAGGACTCCTTGGAGCGACTGAACATCACAGCCTGGATGCGTACACAAGTAACATTTTCCAGCCCAAGTTGGCCATGACAGCTGTGAAATGTGGCACTTCATTTCTACATCGTCTCTTCATGGCCACCTTGCTGGTATATGAAGCGGTCAGGGAAAGAAGTGGCTTAGCACAGGGACCCTCAGAAATCCGGGGTGGTCCTTCTCGGTCCCTACTGCGTTGTGCGGGCTCAGGGACACATGATCTGTGCCTACTCCTCCGTACACAGGGCTATGTTAGGAGTATACGTTCTTCAAAAGAAAAAGCCATCCAAAATGATCTGTACATTACAACACATTAAAGATATGAAGTATCTTTAGCATGATGCAACATGGACAGAGGTCTTGAGACTCAGTAGTTACTTACGTCCATCAAATCATCCTCAGGAGATGACTAAACATCCTCCTCTCCCAGGGACCATTTATCACTGTCAGTGCTGCAGAAGCTGAGCAGCTATCTATAGCCCCATGTGCTCTGAGCCAGATCCTCTGCCCATACTAAACTGGTTAGTTCAGATCAATGCTTCAGTCTGAGGCATCAAGGAAGCAGCAGGGTGCTGCAGAAAACTGGCTCTGCAATTTTAACTCTTCACTTGGTCACTTGGTAAGAGAAGCTCCAGCATGGTATCAGGGCTACTGACTAGCAGAAAGCGATGGCTTCCTCCTGGTGAAGTATAAAACCAAATCCTAGATCATAAGGGGCAGTGAAAAATCAGCTTCTGCAAGAATAAGAAGGTTCACTTACTGTCTGGGTCAGATCTCCACTTGGATAGGTCTCTTCTGACAAGCTAAATTCCCTACCTAGACTCAGCTATCAGGAATGGTCTCGAATTGCCCCGACCTGCTATGTAATTTTCTGTGACGGGTCACCCAGATGTAGTTGAATATCTGTGATGGATGAAGGGTTTCTATAGTCCTTGCAGGAACTACTAGGAGTCTTTAAAGTGAATGAAGCAAATACATGCAGAAGAGAGCATTGCTAGGGACAGTGTAAAAGGATGCCCCTAAAAACACAGACTTGAGTTAATCCTTTTCTTTCCCGTATCAGTTGGGATTCTGGGTTTAGTCTGTGGGTCAGGGCGGGCATTGGATGCTGCTGGCAGCTGGCTCCGAACGGCACTCTCGTGGCGGGACCATTTGTGCAAAGGGAATTGGAGCTGCAGAACATCTGC